AGGGGACGCGGACGTCACGGGCCCCTCAATACATGTGGTGGATCCTGTGAATGTCGCCCGTGTTTTTTTTGCTTTCTGTGCTTGCTTTTTTAGGCTTTGTGTGCATGTTTTTTGTTTTGTTTCATTGGCCCCGCGTTTCTTTACGGGTGTGAGGCGCTATTTGAGTGGGGACGTTTCTTTTTTGAGTTATTACTGTACGAGACGACTGCTGACTCCTTCGTCCGTTTAGTGCACGACGGTGCGCATTTGGCTTAGTCTCTGCGAGGGTCTCTTATGTATTTATATACCATGCGACTCTGCACAAATATACGTAAAGAATGCGGCGGCCGTCCTTGCTTTTTGCGGCTGTTTTATTATCATTATTTGTGCTTTTTTTTTCTTTTTTCTTTTGCTTTTTGTGTGGTCGTCTTGCCTTCAGGGCCTGTGCTCTTTGCCCTGGGCTGGAGTCTGCGTCGTGTGTGCAGCTCTGCGTAAGCCACGAGCTGTGGCGCTTGTTTCAGGCTCATTGGGGTATGTAAGTTTTATTATTATTAGTTTCCTTTTATTCTTTTCTTTTTCTATTTTTCTGCTGCAGTCCGTATATCTTGTCATCAAAGGCCGCATATTACGTGTATGTTGTCAGCTTGCTTCCTCCTTGCGATTGCATGAGTACACGAGGTTTTGTACTCATATAAAATTTGGCGAAAAAGGAGTTTGCATCCCTGTGCGTGTAATGAGTCATTCGATGGAGGAGCTTCCGGCGATTCCGTCAATTCTTTTGCAGACGTTTCCCCTGGAGGCATATCTACGGAGCTTGTGCAACAAACTGACCGACAATATAAATGCCCTGCACTGCTCCGTAGTCGGACTGCAAGGGGAAGTGAAGTCGTGCAGCACAATGGTTACTGATATACGCCAGTTTTTGCGGCAACAGGCTCTGTTAGAACTGCGGGAAAAGATTGTGGAGGGTTGCATTACGCTGCAAGAGGGGGTTTCCGTAGAGTCACTTTTACCTGGTTTTTTGCGTGATGATTTAACAATCGTTGGAGGGGAGGTCAGTGCCTTGGTTGGACACCAATTCGGAGAAGCTCAGGGACAGGGCGACAATGAACTAGGAGATATGCGCAGCTTCATGGAGAAGGTGGGCATGGAGCGCGCGGAGCGGAGTCGGAGGAAGGAGGAGTGGGAACAGAAGGCGCATCAGCAGAACGAGGAGTCCCGTAAACAGTTGGAGCAGATGTGTGAGGCGCTTCAAGTGTCGCAGAAACAGTACATGGATGAGCTCGAGCGCATTACGGCCTGGCTTCTACCATCGCCCACCGTTGACGAGGAGGATGAAGCACTCCGCAGTGGTGGTAGTTCTCATCGGAACAGCGAGACTGTAAAAGATAACAGCGAGCTCCAGGATATACTGAGGAGCGCCCCTCTTCTTGTGGAGTTTCGACGAGTTATTCTTTGCGACATGATGGACCGTCTTGGGGAGGCGAGAGATGAGCAATCCATGAATCTCGGTAACTCCATTGCCTCACTGAGGGATGAGTTACGGAAGGAGATGGGTTGCTGCAGTAGTATTGTTGCAGCTGGGGGCGTGGGAGCTGGCGGCGGCGGCAGTGGCGAGGTGGAGCGCCGATTGAAGGCATTTGACCGAAATTACATGCAGCGCGGTGAGGTTGTCGCGACGCTGCAGGACAAGGCGGACCTTGCCACCGTGGCGCAGAAGGTCGACAAGGCGTATGTGAGCGACCTGGAGAAGCGACTGTTGGAACGCATAGCCGATTTGGAGGAGCGCTTGACGATCTACGAGGCGGAGCGCGTGGAGTTTCGTCGCATTCTGCGCTCCGTGGTGGACGTGCACCGGCGCGGTGAAGATGTAAGAAACGGCAACGACAGAAGCATCCACAGCAGCAGACACGCTTCTGGCAGAGGCGGCGATAACGGCGCCACTCAGACGGCAAGGATACTGCCCAACTTTGTGGTGGTTGACGAAGCCATCGAGCCTCGGCACGGACGAGAGTTTCAACAGTCGGCGGTGCCGGAACCCCGTGCACCGAGACGCCCGCCAGCGTCGCGCGCAAAGCAAAGTTCTGACTTTAAGAGTTCCCCAGTATCGGCAAGGCAACAGCAACAGCGGCAGCACCCTCCAAGTGACACGGCCGACGCAGCCGTGGACGTGGAGAGACAGTTGGTTGGCCTGACGGTGAACCAGGAGGCGTATGCGAATTATGTGTCAAGAGGGCTAAACCGCCGCGTCGTTGAGAGCCTCCCTCCGCTGCCTTACGAGCGTTGGCGTGGATAGTGATTTCTGCCAGCCGCCACCTCTTTTTATTTCTTTTCGATGTACAACGCCGGAGGTATAAATGTGGGACTTTGGTTCGACATTTTTCTTTTTTTCCCCATTTTACTTGGAACTTTTGATTTTTACGTGGCTGTCTTTGTTTGGCGCTGTTGCTGCACATCTTTTCCTCGACTCGTTGGGCGGCGAGCTTTTTCACTGCCACTCTTCGGCTTTCTTTTTGTTTGACCAGTCGTTAGGGAGCGCCACCCCACTTGTTTAGAGCCAATGTTGTTTTCGCCGGAGAAGGTGGTTCTCACGTTGTTTCTTCTGTTGCTGTGCGGTCCGGCAACAGGCGCTGTTGGCCAGGTTGACGTGCATGTTGTCAACCTCACCGTTGTAGCCATTGGCTGGCCGAATACTGCCGCCGAACTGTCGCGTTTTGAGGAAACTGTTACGTCTGTCGTGTGCGGCCCACTGGCCCACACCGCCTCCAATAAAACTCCAATTTCGTGTGGTGGTCTGCTAGCGCCGGTGAGTGTAGGAAAACTTTCAGTACAGGCGTATGCGGAGACTGTTTCCCCGGGGGACGCACTTCTGGTGCGCCGTACATTCTGGGGCTGGGCACACACCTATGACTCCGCCATGCTGGAGACCCTCACGAGCGCCGTGTCCTCCGTTGCAGGGACCCCCTTGTCGTTGCTTTCAAAGGTGAGTGGGGTTTACACGGTCCCGTGCCGCGGCAAAAGTAGCTTGGAGGTTCTCCCACTGTGTGCATCTACAAGCAACTGCCTGACGTCTATTCTTGTGGATGATTTGAAGGAAAGTGTGATGGGCACGTTCTGTGGCTACGTCCCCAACCCATGCAGCGCGCACATTACGACGAAAATGGTCACCCCAAACCAAGTAATGGTGAACATCACCAATCTTCCGAATACCCTCGAGCTGGCTCTTTTGTTCACGGATAAGGTGCGCAGCGGTGTTCTGCACGCCAGTCGTATTGAGCTCTACTCGGATGGCCAGTTGGCACAACTTTACGCTTCCGACGAAGGGATGTACGAGAACAACATCAAGGTGGTACCGCAGTGCGATGTCGAGACGGGGCTATGGATGCTCTCGTTTATTGCCATTATTCCCGTACTATTTGTTTTATTCTGTTATTTTTGGTGTATGGGACGCCACCACGCAAAGAAAGTGGAACGGAGGGCCATCGTTGAAGATGAGCTACGGGCTCTGAACATGATTGAACCTCAGGGAGCAGCGGAGACTGCACCCGGTGCACAGCAACTTGTGGCTTACAACAATGAATACCCACAAGAAGCCTCTGCAAGCCAGCTGCAGCAACAGCAACAGGAGTTATATGAGGGATACGACCAGTTTGCCGCGGAGGATAACTTTGTATATCCACAAGAGTTCGCTGCTGACCCGCAACAAGAAGGCGAGGAGTATCATGACGTGTATGATCAACAGGCGTACAATGGAGTGGAGGGTGCCGCAATTGGCGACGAGTACGTGGAGCCCCGTCTCGAAGCGACTTTTCACGACGATGGGACGCATGTTGATGAGAACCAGAATCATGGCGGCCACGCGGCTTCCTCACAAAGTGGGATCCAGGGCGACAGAGAAGGCGGGGCAAGGAGAGATTTGGCAGGAAACGGCATTATTATGTGACCGCGCCCCCGCCCAAGCCGTTTCTGCGCATCCTCACTTTTCCTTTTTTGTCTTGTTGTACCAGAAGGTGGTCGTGGGAGCTGTGCGTGGTCCTGCGCTGCCCGGCCCCTCCCGTCAATCTGCCAACCTACCGATGATGCGTATCTGCCCGCGTTCAGGTGTTTCCTCCATCCTCTCTGCCGCTGATATGCCTTCCGTTGAATGCACCCGTCACAAGAAGCACATAACCGAGAAG